AAAAAAAAAAAAAAAAAAATACTGGAATTTCGTTCTCGCACAAATGTGAACGTAACGAGGCTTTCTGCAGCGCCCTGGCTTGGACGAGTATGAAGACGTTGGAAGAGTCGTCGACTACCACGCTGACGAAATAACGATGGTAGAGTGATAGAGAGATCGTGTCTAACGGTGAATTAATTGGTCGGGCACGGTGGTTTATGTTGGTTTGCGGCTTGTATGGTAGAGTCGTGGTTTAATTGGCGCAGAGACAGACGAGTTGGATCGTGATTGGGTAGTTTGGCGAGCTGCGATTGGTTCAGTTGTTCGCACAGTTTAGTCTCATTTGTGCGATAAATTATATTTCGCTTTTTGCCTTGTAAGTCGTGAACTGTATAATGTTACTCCAATTTTTCGAATAATTTCCTGAGTACCTGAATAAATTTTCCGAGCTGTAAAAATAGCAGGTGATACATTTTATAAAGTGTTAACAAACGAAACAATATTTTGTCTCTTTGGAGTAAAAGTCCTGAGACAAACGTACGCAAGATACAAACCTAGCACGCATCATTTTTCGTGCAGAAAAATATGGAAATTGTCGATGGCTGCGGGATTAATATGCGAGTTGCGCTCACAAGATAAAATATATTGGCTCCCTCTGATTACGAATATTCACTGGAAATGTGTATATAATAATCACATCACATTCAACATTAATTCTGTCCATCATGCATTTCACGAATATCATACATTTCTCCAGTATTGATCCTCGACTGACGTTTTCTTCCGTGCAATTTCAAGCTTTTTTCCATCAACTTCGCCTGATAATTCTCTATTAATTAATTCTTCATTTCTTACTTATTTTGCGTTAATCTCGCGATCGTGGAAATGAAACATTTAACAGAAACGTTTGAAACGCGTTTCTCGGTTGTGGAATTCTAAGTTAATATTTCGTTCGTTTAAATTGAAATTACAAACTGCGAAGAAGAATCTCTTTCAATTCTGTTTCATACCGGCGTGGAATACGCGTTGTAGAAGGATTTTTTGAAAACTCGACTAATTACGATATTAAAAAGCGACTTTTCCTTCGTTTCAGATAATTTAAACTTTTAAGCACGTTCGTCTGACATTCGTCTGTTTAATTTTAAATTTCGGCCGGATGTTCCTTACAAAATTGTATAAAACTGTTTGTCCAGAAAGGAGAATTCCTTTCTAAGAAATTATAATTACCTTTGAACGTTTACAAAAACTCGACAATATTACTCGACGTATGAGAGATGAGGGAAAAAAGGAATACTATTTCGAGGAAAACGAATTTCAAAAATTTCATCGATCCAATCACACTATTTCTATTAAATCGCGCAAATTTCAAAGAATCCTTTTAACACGCGTGAAACTTGAAAAAAAGAAAGAAGAGGAAAACAAGAAACTTTCTCTCAATTTCTCGAAACAAACACACAACTCTCCAAACCATTAAGATTAAAAAATGTTTCCGGCTGATAAGAATCCCGCGTGAAACAAATCATCTCGAAGCCTCGGGCGCTTTCCTCTCCTGAAGAAAGGAAACCGCTGTTTAAAGCTGGCCAGCTTCTTATTCGCTCTCGCGAGAGATAGCACGCCAATAGACAAGAGGGTGGATTTTAGATTAGAATAGTGAGATGTCGTGTTGTAGGAGATTCGTACGAACCGAAAAAGTTTTGGGAAAAAAGGTATCGTTCTCGGGAGAAAACACGGTGGCACGATTTGAACAGACTCGAAACGTTCGCTTTGCAGTTTTCGAAAACTCCTCTCGTGTCGAACTTCGTGGGATTGTTCTTCTCCTTTGTGCCTTTCGAAGCGCGGAATAATCGTTTTCTTGTTTGTTTCGTGTTCACGAGTTGAAATTTGAAGCTGACTACCCGAGAGTTGAATTTCAATTTCTACATTCTTGCGAATTGCAGATCAATCCATTAAGAGTCACGATGATGCGTCGACGTGTCGTTTGCAATATTGTTTCGATCAATTTATATTGTAAAAATTCCATCTACAGAATTTCCTTCGCGTAATTTCTTCATTTCATCCGACCTAGATTTTATAGCTTTACGAAACTTCAAGAAACTGGTATTACTTGAATAATTCCAAGAAAGAAAGAAAAACACGCACACAGTTACATTTTCCGCGAGTTTTAAGGTAATCACGACTATTCAAAAATTAGCTTCAACGAAAATTAAAAGAGGAATGAACTTCGCGATGATCGATCCACGAAGAAGCTTCGTTTATTCAATTAAAATTAGATAACTTTAATGAAATAACGGGGGAAGTATAATCGCGTCTGCTGTTAAAACAAGACCGAATGAATAATATCCAATTTCACGATCTATCGAGGGAATTCATTTTTCCAACGGGTTTCCGCTCTGATTGTAAAAATTTTCATATTATTACATTCTCCGACGTTGACCAATAGCAAACCCTCGAAGATACAGAATTCATTTCGTTTCCGCTCGCATTGAAAATTTAACTTTACTTTATTACATTACAACTTAAGGAAACTTGCTTTATTACATTACAAAGTTATCTCGTGATGATCACTTTATTACTCTCGATCGCATTGAATATCTTCAGCTGAAATTTTCTCGAATGGAACGGAAGAGAAAGAGAGAGAGAGAGAGAGAGAGAGAGAAAGATGGGGAAATTGCAAAATGAAAGGAAACGAGTAGAGAATGGTCAGACACACGCGTGTCGGATCGGTGTTTATATATTATATCATATAATAATTACAAAATAATCGGTACATATACTATCGACTTAGCGCTAAATATTCCACTTTACAAATAATACGACTTTACAAATAATACAACAAGCATGAAATCAGCGTACTTGTGTGCATTTTACATATTACATTATCCCGTGTTACCAATTGTTTTTTCGCAGTCTTCCTAGGGGAATTCAAACGCAGAAGCACGAAAGATTGTTTTCCTTTTTCTCGTTTCTGGAAGACAAGTATAGATTTTGTTTCTAATCTAATTGCTTAATCTTACAATGAAAATATCTGATGAACGCAGAACAAAGCGCGTAGAAGAAGAAAAAAAGAAGGAAAAGAAAAGAAATTATGGCAATACGACTTACATCACTAGAGTATTTCTTACGGCTTATAATCTGTGCATAATAACGATTGAAAGAAAGAAAGAAAAAAAAAGAAGAGTGGAAACAAATGACGGTTTGTTCGTCTGAAGCGAAAACATCGTTCGCGATACGCTTCAGACGAGATATCTCGAATGGGTCGTTCGCGCAACGCTCTGAATAAAGTATTTCACATCGAATTACACAACTGTGTGACGAGTAAATGAAAACAGAATTCTCTTTTATTTGACATTTTATTTAACTTTTGTTCAACATTTTATCTGACTTTGTTCCTTTTCATTTCACAAAAAAATCAAATCCAAGTTCAATATACTATTTGTAATTTCACAGACAGTATGATTGCCCAATTTTATGCGACAACTGTCGTGTAATTCGATAATATTTTGATTCGTCGACGTGCTCACGATCAAGATGTTTTACGAACTGGCTTACTGCCGATTTGTTTGTCGTCTCTGACGAGATGTCTCGTCGAAAGCGTATCGCGGACGTTTAAGCTCATCGTTTAGCCAAATCTCATGCTACACTGTACAGTGAGAAAAGAAATCTTTTAGCATTTTCTCCATGTAGCGAGAAAAGAAAGATCAAGAGGTAGAAAGTATAGTAAGAAAAGTATAATAAGGATACATACATACATACATATATATATATACGATATTTCTAGAATGCGGAATCAACCTTTAGCAGAGTAAAATTAGAATGTTAAAAGATTAATGTAAATATTAAAATAAATTTAAGTTTAAATTTAAATTTAAATTTAAGAAAAGTTAAATGCTAAATATGCACGAAGTAAATTAAAAAATAATGTAATCCTCACAGATCTGTTGTCTGAAGAATAAAAACTATATCTAATAATAAAATAAAATAACTACGATAATTACGATAACTACTACTAACGTGCCTCATTTTTTTTTTATCTTTTTTATTTTTTTTTTTTTTTGTTCACGATTATTAACGCAAAAGGGTTCCGGCCGGTCACGTTCGAATCAGAAAAAAATATATAAAATCGACTGCATTAAAGTCAACGAATTAAAAATGAAATTGGGATTCGGTGAATCCCCATCGTTGTTTGTTTCCACCCGCTACTATATCCTTACAATTAAAATTGAAACTCGCTTACAAAATATAATTTTCGAACGTATAGATCATACATCGCCTTATCGATAGTTAATTATAAATGTCGTAAGTATAAATTGAGATCATTGGCGAATAAAATTACGAAGTAAAACATTAAAAAAAAAAGATAAAGATAACGTAAGTACATAAACTACCGCATTACGAGGTGTTAACCTATTTAATTGAGCAAAACTACAGCTAACTTAATCACTTAAAATTAGGTTCATGAACGGCAATGCATTGCTAGCTCTCTGGTAATTATCTTAGCTTATTATTAGCAAACTATTTACAATATACTTGTTCTTAACTTTGGTCTCGATTCTGGCGCCGTTCTTTCACTTCCTTCCAATTTGTTTTTTTTTTTTTTTTACCTTTTTCATTCATTTTTATTTTTTTTTTGTACCCAAAAAAAAAAAAAAAAGTCTTCGACTCAAAAGACATTGTAAATAAATTCTAATTGTTGTTAAACAATCACAATTTCCATTTCAGACGATTCAGTTTTAATTTTAACTAACCTGAATGTACAGCACGTCTCAGTCGTGAATGTTTCAAACGTACGCGAAAATACTAAACGCGAAAATAATGTAAATAATGCAAATTTAAAAAAAAGGATGAATTATAACCTAAATAAAGACGAAGTTGAAATAACCTATAATAATCTATGCTAATGTGTACTGCACTATGATGAGTATTGAAACTCATTTTCAACGGACGAGAATCGATCGAACGATTCGAGAAAAATGGAGGGGAGGCGGTAAGATCGAGGATCGTCGTCGAAATTCTCGATTTTCAACACGCTTTCAATTTCTCTCGATCACCGAGATCTTGACCGTGGAAAGAAAAAAAAAAGGAAAAAATAGAAATCTACGTCGAGCTTAAATTATCTTAGCGATTAGTTTTTCGCACATTCACAGCCTTGCTTTGTTTGAGAAACTGAGAAAGAGACGGTGTACGTAGTATCATCGTCCCTGTTTCATTTCGATGATGCATGTTCATGACTGTCCAAGCGTAAAGACTCCCCTAGAATTGTCGATTCTTCAATTTAATTTTCTTTCTCTCGAACGCTCTTCGTTCTTTATTTCTTTTTTTTTTTTTTTTTAATTGCATTTTTCATTTTTGTACACTCTAATATCTTCTTTTACACTCTATTACAACGCGGAATAAAATAAACGATAATGAAAACCAAAATGACGTAATTAATTTATATCTCGGAGTGTATCGCTCTACGCTGAATTTTCGACTGTTCGATTTTTCAACAGGAATTCTTCGTTTGTGTACATTTTAATATCTCATTCTAGCACCATGTAGCATGAAATATTGTAAATTATAAGATCTATATCCTGATCTATATCCTATTTTTCTCATATTAACGATCAAATTGAATTATACGTAGATTATAAACTATCGCGATAGTAAATTATAAATAAAATCTATATCTTGGAGTATCTTGGAGTGCGTACTCCGAAATTCACAAATCTCCAGCCACTTTGAAACTCCGAGAGGAAAGTTTTTTTTCTTAGTCAACAACAAGTTAGAAATGAAACTAACTAAGAGAAGAAACGTATACTCGGTTTATTAACAAAATAAATCTTCAGCAGATCATTGAAATTTCATTCTCACAATGATACAAGTTCACACGTGCGTAATGTAAATACAGATTCATGATTCGCGAGATCGGTTCGCGTACATATTTCGATGTACATATGTTGGAAACGTCGGGGAACATGGAAACATTTGAAAATCTTTTCCAACCGGCTTGTATACACGTTTCAAACAGCAAGTGTACAGAGAGCAGAGGTCGCAGAAAAACTTGTTTTGCTTGGAAACGGAAACACATAACGGGCGAACGTATACGAAATTCCTGTTTAAAATCCTGTTATTACGAAACTGGAATATTTAACAGTTCGGCGATGAAAGATCAACGAAGAGAGAGAGAGAGAGAGACAGAGAAAGACACGAAAATTTTGAATATCACATATTTGTGTGATATTCGACCATTAATATGTTATTAGTTATGTAATTATTACGTTATTAGTTGTATAATTACTGTATTAGTTGGTTGAATTATTAATATAAATATATTTAATATAATATATAAATATTAATATATTAAAATATATAATAAATATTTTTATTCCTTCATTACTAGCTAACGTCAAATATTGTGCCAGATGTAATTTGTAAATTTAATCAACTGTCGATAATAAATAAATTTAGTCGAATGTCGTTCTCCGGAAAACCTGATTTTGCCACACACCAATAACGTCCGTTAAATTTTGCAATTACGCTAAAGAAATTTCTACTGTAAATCACTATATGTGTATTCAACGTTGAAAAAAATTCACTGACAAAGACGTGGAAAGATTTTCTTATACCGTGATATTATATATTGACAAATTAAAATATTAGACTGTATTAGGTGAATTTTATGGAAAATTTACGCTTCAAATTTATCATTTACACGAAAACTTAAAAAATGACAACAGCTCTAAAATGGTATTGAAAGAGTGAAATTACTCTTGATTGAGTGGATCTTGAATGATATTTCAAACGGAATACCAATACGTGAAATCGGTCGTACGGAAACAATACTTGGTATATTTAATAATAATAACATAATAATGATACAATTAGACCAACTATGGTGATATAATTTATAACACGCTGATTAACATGAATCTCCCCACGAGCGAATATGGACGAAAGGAAGCCGAAATTTCGAAAAAATTGCTTGCAAAACTTGGTAATCTCGCTCTCCGCAGCACGTCCAGATCGTGAACATTTCAGATCTAAACAGGCGTGCATAACTATAAACAGAGCGAGCCCTGAAACCCGAAATCCCGGAGGCGAAACTCGCGTATAATCCACGGACAGAATGCAGGGGAATACGCGATACGAGTCAGACATCTGGCCTGGCCCATCAATCCTTTTCCATTCTCCAGCCATAACCGACATAAAACCACTATTATTACGCTATCCAAACGAATATTGAACGCCACCCATCTGTATAATCTTTTCGCACGGACGTTTGAAAATCTTCAAACGAAACTTGGTCGAGTGTATTTCGATTCGAAAGTCGGAGTTTACTGGCATTGTTATATTAATATTAATATTTCCTTTTCTTTTTCTAGGTTCAACTGAAGCTTCGAAAGTCTCGACCAAAACCCGAATTGACATCTTCTTCCAACACGAGGTCAGATAATTTTTAAACTATTTCCACATATATATTTGTGTGTTGTTGCAATTTATTATATAATAAACGTATAATGACGGTTTAATTATAATTCAATCGCCGCTGCGTGAGTATAATTTCATTGTAATTTAACTACAATTTAATTGCATAAGCATTCAACTCTTTTTGTATTCATACTCATATAAATATACGATACACTGACTCTGTCAAATCGAATATATTTAATTCATTCGCACGGATCCCGTTGGAAAACGCAAGGAACCCTTGGTTAAAGTCTAAAATTTCAAAATTTAATTTCATTCGAGTTTGATTAGCCTGTCGACGCTGAAAAATCCCTAATTTAATCAGACGTGATTTAAAAAAAAAAAAAAATAATGAACTCAAGACCTAACGTAACCTACCTTGATATTCGAAATTTAATCTAATTTTAATCACCATAGCCTAAAACGAAAAATCCGAAATCTCACGACAAGAATCCTCATTGCTGCACATCTCTTCAAAACTCATGAAAACTCTTCCAAGAAGAAGGAAAAAAATTGAAAAACCATCCGAACTTCAATATTCCACGAGAAAAATATTTCTGCAACTGGGAATTACGAAATTCTACCTTATCGAATGACATAAATGATAAGAAAGTAAAAGTAAGAGAGAGAGAGAAAATCGACCGATTGCCGGCAAAAGAGAAAGACGAACGATAGCACGAAACGGAAACGGGATCTTCGTGGCGAAGTTTCTCGCGTAGCTGCCAAAAGCGCGCGTATAAATAGGCCGGCTGACAAAAACAAGTCGCCGCGTCATGTTGCGCGGATATAAAGTTTTTAATCGCGCACTTTATAAGCTTTCTCGCGCCGAAACCCCGTCCCGTCCCTCTCTCATTGCCGGAATTTTTCCACTCTTTCCCACTGAGGAGGCTACTCTCGTCGATTTCCTCTCGCATTTCCAATCGCAGCAATTGAACTCTACAGCAATTGAAATACTCCAATTTCGACAATTCTAATCCTTTTGCTGTTTCGATGATTTCATCACACTTTCCTTTTGCTTCTTCTCTTTTATTCATTTTTGTTCCAAGAAAACTTGGCAAAAGTCAACTGTCGCTTAACTAATTCGTTTCGCAATGTGCATTGTGTAATTGCTATATTATTTATCAGAGCATTGATAGCTGAAGTGAACTTGAATAAAACAGAATAAAAC